GTTAGTGTCGAAACATCGAAAAGTCCATGGCTTGGCTAATATTTCTGCTACTTACGCTACTAATTTGGCTATAGTCACTGGCTGCTATTGCGGTAAACCCTTCTCTTGAATTTTCTTGCTTTTAGCTATAGAACCCATTTCGGCAAATTTAACTTATGAATGGCACTGAGTGAAAACAGGCTAATTGCTGGGTTTAAGGGGTTGCTGTTAATACGACGCTTAGCTTTAGCTTAGGAAATATGGTGCATTATGGTAGGGGTATTAGAGGTCATTGGGTGTCATTTTATGCAAACATGAATTGTTTTATGTATGCTGCCTGTAACGCTAGTTAACTTCTCTGTATAAGAGTTGTTTGTATTGCACAATTTTCCTTCAAAAAGTGCTTCAAGTGATGTTTGTGCATAAATTGAGGTCACCTGGGTGAATGATCATATTTTTCTAAGTGATTTCAAAGGAATTGAAGTAGAGTAATTTGGGTATTTATGCCAGAGGCTAATTCTGGTGCCTTCTTGTTGTTCAGGGACAATGCGTGTGTGTGTGCCTCTGTGTGTGTGTGTGTGTGTGTGTGTGTGTTTTTTTTAATTTATTGGAAAAATAGGACATAGATTTTTTGAAAGCATTACTTTTGCCAAGTTTTATGCTGTAATGCTGTAATGCATCCATATATTGATTGAGTTAATAGTTCATCTTTTCTATGCATTTTTTATTGCTTTGTTATTGTCCTTTGTATGACAGGATTAATAAGAGAAGGAGTATAGCAGTGAGATCTTTTGGAACCATGCTTTTTTTCTTTTTGTTTTTTGCAAGTCTTCATGGACATCAAGTTCCAAACTGAACCGAGGCATATTACCAACCTCAGTAGTTTTTGTTGGGTAAATTGCTTGTTGGAACACCCCATTAGCCTCAATAGCTCACCTCAAACACTTGAGGTGTTCTGTAATGGTTGAAAATCACCATATTTCTTGCAGTTTGCAAAAACTGGTTGGCTATAACAAAAGGTAAAATGATTCTTTAATGTTTAATTTGGCAGGAGCACGTGAATTTGTAAGAGTAACTCGCAAATCAGATTCTGATGATCTGATGAACTCTGCAATTGCAGGCTTTGGTACCGGTGCTGTACTAGGCCGGCTTCAAGGTCAAATCCTCTCCCTCTCCCTCCCTTCCAAGTGCAATGATTCATTAATTTTCTGTGTCTTATATCTTTATGTATACTTCTGGTGTTTTCTTAAAAGCAGTCTAGGAATATTCATGTGGCTATATACATAAAAGATGAGAGGTTACATAGTTCAGATATCAAGGCGTCTTATATGATTTAACCGTGCATATCAAGTATCCCTGTAGTCTCTTGAGACAATGCAGAGAAACTGTCCTCAATCTATTTTGTCTATGATGTGTTATATTTTAGCTGGATTTTTTGTTGCTTGTTTGATCATCCAAAAGAAAGAAATAGTCTCTGTGGTTTTATGATGTTTGTTTGACTGCTTTTTTAGTTCCATTGCTTCCTTGGTGGATGTAAACGACTTCGTGCCGTGTGCTCAGATTTCTCTCATTTAAAATGAACATAATTACAATTAAGATGGAACAATGTTCAATTTTCTTATTAAGAATGCCATAGTGAATGTTATTTTGCTGATAGAAGCAGTCTGCATCTCTGATATTGGTGTTTGCTTTTTGCTAGGCATTTAAGGCCATGGTTCTTTGATTGCACATTTTATTTTTCCTATCTTCATGTGATTACGTTCTCCCCAACACCCCTTCCTCCCTTTGCAGAAGAAAAATTGTTAAAAAGCGTTTCTTCTCTTGGCACAGGTGGTCCATATGGTGCATATCGTTACTCGGTCATCTTTGCTGTTGTTGGTACAGCAGTTGATTTTGCTACACTTAAATTAAGACCCACCTTGACGAGATTCAGTGAGTCCATGTCTGGGGACAAGCGTGATGATTGGTTGAAGTTGCCAGAATGGTCTCCCATTCAAGTACTTGATGAGGAAGCCCTTGCTGCTAAACAAGCTCAGGAAAAGAAACTCTATGAACAAAGGGTACTTGGTAAACTAGGGAAAGAAGAATCTTAATCATGAGCTATTGTTTCATGTAATATCAATTTTGTATTCTTAATCCTACCAATAATAATGTTTCAGAGAAAGCCACTTCAACCTTCTGGCACCTAAAAATTGTTAAGTTTCACAGTTGTATTTTGGCTTTCAAGTTAAATCATTGTGACATCTTGTCCCATTGTTATGGTTTTAATTTACCTTTTGGTGAACATCCTAATGATATGGTATTATAGTTGCTGCTGCTCATTCTGCATTTCTACCTTACATATGAGAATTTGATATTTTCATGCACTGTTCTTGGTTACACCCCACGGAATGAAGGTAAACACATAAAAATCGTTTAATCTGAAGGTTATGAACATGTTAAGACTTATTTGGAAGTGTTACTGTATAACTGTATAACTGTAAGTTTTTAGTTTTTTAATATTGTAAAAATATATTTAATATTTATTTTAATTCATATTTTATATGTTTTTAAGATTAAAAAAAAAAAAAAACCAAAAATTGAAGTAATTGAGAACTATTCTCGAACAAAGCTTAAATTTGGCGTCACAGACGAAAACAATTACCAACAGAGGTACAGAGACCCTCGTTCCAGTCATAAAATTTAACGTCAAATAAGAAGAACAAGAGAAGTTGTAAACAGTGACGTTAATTCAAATCCATGCTATTCACATGTACATATTTTCTAGAAGCTGCTCCAGAGGTCGATGTGGAGATGCAACTAACCGACACATTACAATCACATTCTCTAACTGCAACTTCTTGACTCCTCAAAGGAAAAGTGTTAGATGACCAACGCCATGGAAGCAACTTGTGATTCTTTAGAAACATGATTTTATGAAAGCAAAGAAACAAGAGAGACAAACTCCAGTGTTACTTTGCCCTTGGATCTTGTGTTGATGACAAAGTGTTCTGGGTATTTTCTCAGCAACATAAGTAAACCATACCATGGTTTCCCCTTGGATTCAGGACCAGGCCAGTCCTCAGATGTGAGATATCTTCTCACTCGACTGTGATGCCAAATGTTACCAAACTGCTCAGCCAACTGAACAATAAAAGGTAAAAGGGTACATAAGTAAGCCATCAAAGAGTAGAGAAACACAAGAAGCAGCAGAGGTGGCACTTGAAGGACATTGGAAAGGCTAGCATCAAATGAAGATGTCATCACCAAAAGAAAAACAAAATAACCTAGTTTCTTTTTCTTGGCCAACAAACAAAATTAACCAAAGACAAATTCAGGCTATCTATTCATTTTTAACTTTAAAAACTAAGAAGGATCCCAGTCAATCACAAAAGCATGTTGAAAACAACTAATTCTTTAAGTGACAAGAATTAAGGGAGGAAAGTTTACTTACAGTAAGCTTAAAAGCAATCACTACTATGCCAAAATAAAAAAGAGGCAATTTACAGCTAGCCAGTGAACTGAAGACAGATCACAAAAATTTCAATTGAAACTAACCTCAGAATGAAGCTTCTCCATAGGCATCCATTCGCCAGGACCACAAAGATCAGAAAGCACGGTTGCCACAGATGACACCACATCCTTTTCTTCCAGCTGCATAAGTTGCTGTGTATCAGATTCACGATCAACCCGTGATCTTCCCTCTCCTTTCTTTTCTGCAGGTACAGAAGATGGTGCCATGCTAGTTAAACAGCATGTATCCAAAATAACAAAATTAAAATCTAAAGTTCCAAGACATCTAATTAGAATCTCATCTACCATCTGCAACTGGTTCCATGGAGGCACCATCACTAGTTTCCCTAAAAGGCTTCAAGAGGAATAACATTGATGTTTTACAGACAACACCATTCATGAGAAAGCCTTCATGGTTATCATTCCAAAGATAAATTTCCAAGTTCCAATTCCATGTTTCTGTTCTTTCACTCATCTGATTCAAAGACAGTACATCTAAACAGCCACAGAACCATGATATCCATGAAACTTAACCAAGTAATAAGTTTGACATTTAGACAACATAAGTACCTTAAAGTTTTGATGTCTAAATTTTCTGTACTCAGATGAGGAGAGAAACAATTTTTCTTTAATGTCTTGAAAGCTTAAATTTCTTAGATTGGGTTCATAAACAAAACCAAGCTTAAAGTCTATGAAATTCATTTAAAGAAAAATGAGAGTACTCATGTCCAACTCAGCTTCTAGATAAAAAATTGAGAGTAAGAATAATGTAGGACAATAATGTACAACATGCTTACAAAATATTTGGTGGGGAAGGTTAAAGAATATGAGTTTTTTTTTTTTTTTTTTTTTTTTTTTGCTTTTTAGGTGTTTTAAAGTTTTATTAGGATAACCAAATGGCACTTGCTATTAGAGGATAGAAGAGTTTGTGGATGTTGTCAATGAACATTGTACAGGGAACATAATGCAAAATTACCGTGCCTTCAACATACAAAGGAATGTTTTCTAGTCCTAATTGAACTAGGATTCCAAAGGTCATAATATATATAGGAATAAAACCTCATCCAAACTAAAAAGGAAGAACTCCATAAAAGGCTTACATAACTAGTAATTGATGTGCCAGTAAAGCAGCACAAGCTATAAAAATTGACAGGTAAAACTGATAAGTACGTTCATAATAAAATGATCAAATGCAATATAATTTGATTACTATTTGTGACTGTCAACTATCACAGTTTGCATGAACTACATGTCCTCAAACATTTCATTTTACCCACAGCATACAGAGAAATATGATCCAATCAGGCTCAGCTGACTTCCAACAAAGAGAAGTAGTTACAGATATGATGGTAAGGAAAAAATATCAGCTGCTAACAACTTCCTACTTCAATGAGATAACATAAACATAAACAAGAAGGAAAGTGTTGATTTGTAAACATTCCTTACGAGTACAAGCAGGAAAGTGTTGATTCTTAAACATAAACTACTAGAAATTCATTACAATCCAAAAGAAAGTTGTTGTCTATACCAAGCAGATATCAAAATTTCACAAAGAAAGTATCAAGAATGGCTAGAAAGAAACAACAGAAACGCATTAATATTACTTCTATTAGTAACAGACAAATTCCTAACTTCTTCCTACTTCAATTATTCAACAATTTCTACAGCAAAACAAAATTAGATGACTATTATTTGTATCACAACAAAAATAATAGCTTCAACAAGCTAAAAGGCCCTATCTTTATTAGTTACAAGATTTAAAAAACATTGACTAGCTAGTATAAAGCCCCAAAGAAGGGAAGGAAGAAAAAGTAAAAGCATATCACTAACCCAGTGCTCCAGCCAACCCTCCCTTTCCTCCAGACCCTGAGCCTGCTCCACTGTACCAGTCTTCCCTTCTTAGCTTTTTGCTACCACTGCCATCATCGTCCTCCTCCCCACCCTCTTCCTCATAATACTCCCTCTGAGCTCTCCCCTTCTTGGTCCCTGCGGCAGGAAGTGCCACTGAACCAACCATCCTTCCCGCATCACTACCGCCATGATAACTGTAATGGGGCACCACCGCCCCAGCCTGGTGACTTGATACGTAGTGCCTAGGTCCAAGCGGCCCACCAAGTATGCTCCTAACGGGGAGAAGAAAGTAAAACTCTTTGTCCCCAATCTGGAGAAGGTCCTGAGAATCGAGCTTGACCGGAGCGGTTCCAGGAAGGTGAAGCACGCCCTCAACGAGGCAGCCGTTCTTCCCGAGGACCTCGAGGGCGAATCGGCGACGGGTAAAGTCGTAGTAGATGCGGGCGTGGTGGCGGGATATGTTCATGCCGCCGCCAAGGCTTGCGAGATCGACGTCGACCGTGGACTTCTTGGAGTTACGACCTAGCATTATGGAGTAGGTCTGCATGTAGTACTCGAAATCCTCTCCCTGCAGCTTTGCGAATCCCGCCTCAACGTCGCTGCCGCCGGCAGTGCCCATCGTTGATCGCTGGATAGATTGAATGAATACCAGAGATTGCTCGCGAAGGATCCAATTGAGGAGAAGTCAGACAAATTGGGGGGAATGGGGATAGGAAAGCGTTTTAGGAGAGGAAAAGGGTATGTTTGGAAGTAGGACTTGCCCTATTCTGAGCTAGAGCAAAAGAAATTAAAATGAAAAAAAAGTATAGAACCCTAATTAAAAAAAAAGTTAAATGACAGAAAACAGTTTTATAGGATGGATAGTATGTAGTTTATCTTATAAAATTAATTAAATATTTTTTAAAAAATAATATAAAAATAAAATTAAAAGTATTTAAATAATTTTATAAGATAAACTGCATACAGTTTATTTATAAAACAGATTTTTCATGATATAAACTAGATCGTTTTATTTTTATTTAAAGTTTGAGGTATGAAATGTTTTGATTCAAAATTAACCAAATTTAATATAACTTATAAATATTAAAAGTTAGTATCTAAAAAAATATTAAATAATTAAATCTACTAACAAATATATATGAATTTATAAATTCAACTTAAATTTTTTGCTAGTATTTAACAAATTAATTTTTTTAATACATTATATTGACATAAAGCTACATTTTTAAGATTAAAAAAAAATTAAATTACAAAAACTAATTTCAAGACACCTTCACAGTAAAATGAAAAACAAAAGCGCCAAACAGGGCATAAGGGAGCGAGAGACGACGCCGATCATAAAAACAGAAAACTATTGGAAAACGGAAGCAAGTTAGATCAAAAGCCATCGTCTCTTGCTTTCTTCGCCGCAGATCCAAATCTAGGCTCGGGTAATTCTGAAATCATGCTTTTCTTTCTCCCTATGTACCTGTTGATGCAATCTTTTGCTTAAATCATGGTCGCTTTAGGTCTACTTTGTTTTGCTGAAATTATTTTCCTTGAAAGTTGTTGGAGAACTGTTTCTCTTTCAAGATTTAACTTATGCTGCTTGTCTGTGATTAAATGGGTGGAAAACTGATTCTACATGCATAGAATTTGTGGGGATTTTCTTTTGGGGGGAAAGAAACTGACTTTTTTGAATGGCGAACCGATTGACACAAGGGTTTTGGGGTTCCGGGTTGAAACTGCCAGGTGATGTTTTGGGACATTGCGCAAGGGCTTTGAGTTCCTGCATTGATAACAAGCAATGGAACTGTGAAAAGATTTTGTTTGGATATCCCCTCTGATGGCAGTTTTTGAATGATTTCTGTGCACCTATGTTTGGGAAGAGAGGCCCGCTTTCATTTTCACGACTTAACTTTTGTAGAATTTGTCGCAGAAAACCATTAGTGTTTATATGATAAGATATATAAGTAATTCCGTGTGTGCATATTTTATTATTGGGTGGGTTTTTTTTGGCAGTGTTCTGTGTTCTTTTACTCTCTGAACTTTTTTTTGAAAAAATTATTACATGCCACAGAATCACTTGATTGGAATTGTCAAGTTGTTTTAGCTGAATGACCAGCTGATGGTTGGGATATTGCACAAGGGATTTGAATTCCATTGTTATGGAACAATGAAATTTCCTACAACCTATCCCATCTGATGGCTGGAAAAAATAATTCCTGTATGCTGTGAATTTTTGTAGTATTTTGTTTTTGTAGACCATTGGAAAGTAAAATATAACTTCTTCTTCTTCTTCCTTTTTTTCTTTTTTTCTTTTTTTATTTTCACTTTCAAGCTGTGCACCCAATTGAAGAAAGAATTGAACAAATGACAGTTCTCTGATTCTTCTTCTTATATCTTTATATTCCTAACCAGTCTTTTTGCAACAATGCTGTGAACAATTTATGTGTTGTGTACTAAATGGGGGTTTTTTGTTTATTTATCTTCTGTGATTGATGATTTGTCTTATGTACCGGATGGGAATTAGTTTGCATTTGTTTGTACATCTTTTTAATGTTTCTTCTGTTGATTCAGTATTAATTTTGATGGATTGCTTTCTGCTGACTGAACAGCTTACCTGCTGGCAAAATGAAATAAGGAAAAAAAGAAAGAGAACACTTTACCCTACTAAGATGTTTGGTTGGTGGAAATATATTGGTTTAGAGAAAAGAAAGGACATTTATCAGTTGAAAATAATCAATTTTCTAATTCCAAACATGTGTTTTTCTCCAAGGCATACTCTCAACTCTGTTACTTTTGATTTCTCTTATAAATGTATTTGGCATATCTAAAAGACTGTCCTTCAGTTTAGGAACGCTATTTATGAGATTGATATTCACATTCAAAGACACAATTTTTGCGTTTTAAGATAGTTCCATGTGCTATTGGGTCTTTGATCAACAATGTTTCCTTTTGCTCTTACCCATGAAGAATTTAAGATACAATTTTCATTCTTTTCAAAGTTCTAAGTTGTTTGCGACAACTGCAGGATTTTTCTGAGCTTGTTCTATCTGGATATCCAATGAAGCATGTTCTGAAGATTTTGACAATACTGGTGGCCATTTCTGCATTTTGGATTGGCCTTTTGCAGGCATCTATAGTTCCACGAAGCCATACTTGGTTGGTCAGTCTCCCCCCCACCTACTCCCCTTTCCTCCTTTTATCCTCGTTACCCTGTTTTTATTTGTATTATATAGAATAAACAGGTTAATATTTGCTTTACTCAATTTCTTCCCTCTCTCTCTTTGTTGGCCAGTTACCTATCTATTTTATTGTGTCACTTGGATGCTATGGCTTATTGATGGTTGGAGTTGGCCTAATGCGATTTCCAACTTGTCCTCAAGAAGCATTGCTGCTGCAGAAGGTATTCTCCTTTCTGGTTTTGTATTAATCTTGGTTTGTAGATTTTCAATGATGGTGGGTTCTTTTATGTGGTAATTGTTGGGGAACTATGGGTGTGGGCTGTTAACTTGATCAAGCTCCACTGTTCATGATTTTCAGGAAGCTGGTCCGCTAGCTTCCTGAAATCAAACAACATTTAGATATGATCAAGCTAGTCCTGCCAACTTATAATCAAATACTTGGGGAAAACCCCAAATAAAGTGTCTCTTAGATCAGCCAACTTCTGTACTTCAAGTTCAAATTAATCATGTATCCCAGCAAGGCTGGTAGTTTGTCCAAGTGAGTAATATTGTCCTTGTCTGTAATCCCACTAGTGTACTGCTATGCTGTTGGGGAAAATAAAGAAACAAAAGCAATGTTGGAGTGTTCTTCTTCTTCTCTTTTCACAACACTGCAGCATCAACTTAAAAATTCTGGCTCATAATCACTTTATCATTTGGTCCTGAAGTTCTTGCATATTGGTCCATGTTTGGCATTATGGTCCTTTTATTTTTGTCCCTTCTCATATATTAAATTTGTCAGCGTTTTTCCAGCTTTGTGGGTACATAATTTATATTTGTTTTGTAGGACATTGCTGAGGCCAAGGTTTTCTTGAAGCAAAATGGGGTTGATGTTGGTTCCGATTGATATTAGGGTTATAATTTATCTCACAAGAGTCAAAGGCCCAATTCACAGGGTAATGCTTCAAACTGCATCATCAACAGTTCTCTGAACCAAAGCAGTTCTAAGAGAATGATATATACCAGGAAACGGCTTCAATATTTACATGATTTCTGTTGAAAAATTGTTTCATTGTTCACAGCCAGTCTCTTATGGTACATCTTAATGGAGTCATTACACACTTACACTTTCCACTTCTAGTTATTCCATTTTTCAACCTTACCAGTCCCCACAATCTTTTGGAAGTATGGACTTTGCCAATATGCATTATTCTAGCCGTCCATGACATGAAGTAAGTGGGTATTTCTGCATGTGCAGTTTTGTGTGTTTTAGGGTAGTTATGGAAACAACAAATGTATTAACTTGTAGTAGGTTGTAAGTGATTTCAGAAATAAGGTAAAAATTGCATGTTTGAGAGTAATGAAAATGATAAATGCATTAATCTCCAAGTGCTCATGGAACTTAGATGGTTTTATGGTAGTAGAATATTTCTATGATTATTTATTAATGAACAAGTAGTGATGTGCTCAGGGAATTATATTAAAATCCTATTAATCCATTTCATAATTTCTCTCCAAAGCTGTATGGTTTCCGAGAGATTTGAGGTGTAAGTTAAAAGTTTATACCTTAATTTAAAAATTAAGGTTTTGATAAAATTATGTATGGGTACAATTATAGTAGGATAGTGGAGGAAATTAAATTTTTTAAGCTGAATCAAATGTAAATAGTTTATATTATTCATTTAGCTACCAGTTATAGAAGTGAAATTTCATATTTGGTAGAATTCTATCTATTAATCAAAAGGAGTTGGATATACTATGACAATTACTGCATGCAACTGAATTTTAAATCATGCAGGAATCATGTGTGGTATTAACTTGTAATTATTATTTGGTTAGTCCTACTTTATCAGAAAAATAGCAATAGGAAGTATTGTACCAGAAGTGAGTGGATAAGTTGGAAGTTAATAAGTGTAATGAAGTTTTATTAAAATTTTGTTAGGCTCTTAATCTTATCTCAAAAAAAAATTTACTAGTTGAGAATTGTATCAGGAAAAATAAAATTTAAATACTTTTACCTCTTTTTATTAGAGCACTGGTGTTTAAAAATGTATAAATAGCTAGAAGAAGATTGGAAGGAAAGTTTGCTCCTTAACATGGAGCAAACTAAACATACTCCTGGTTAGTGGCAACACTTGACAGCCAACAAGTTAATTGAGTGCTGCATGTCAGAATCATTCTCTACATCTTCTAAGCTGCCCTTTATTTCAAAAATAAAGTATCATGGCTCATGAGTTCTCACTTCTCAATGAGCAATTTTGCAAAGGAGTATACCATTTAAGTTTTTTTCAGCTCATATATATTTCCAAAGACGATGTCCTCCAGTGGCATAGATCCTATGGTGTGGCTGCATGTCTCCAACAAACACCATTTTCAAATGTTGGAAAAAGTCTTTTATCCACCATCTTCAAATTATTTGTAATCTCAAGCTCTTATCCTCTATAAATGTATAATTATTTGAAAAAGTTTGTATTAACTTGTAGCAAGTTGCAAGTGACATGAGAAATAAGGTAGAAATTGCATGTTTTACGGTAGTTATAAAAATGATAAGTGCATTAATCTGCAAGTGCTCATGGAAATTAGATCATTTTACAGTAGTAGAATATTTCTACAATCATTTATAAATGAACAAGAAGGGTTGTACTCATGCAACTATATTGTATTAATCCATTTCATAGTTTCTCTCCAAAGCTGCATGGTTTTGGAGAGATTTGAGATGTAGGTTAGATGATTATATGTTAGTTTAATGATTAAGGTTTTGATAAAATTATGCATAGGTATAACCATAGCAGGATAGTGGAGGAAACTAATTTTTTAAGCTGAATCAAATCTAAATAGTTTAGATTTTAATCAACCATGTAGCAGGTATATGATTGATACATCATATTTTGTAGCATTTTGTCCACTTCTCAGAAGCACTAAGAATATCATGGCAGTGATTGCGTATGGATTAAATTGTGAAGCTTAACTGTGATGGCTCAATTAAATTGCCTATGGTTTTGGTGTTGTTTTAAGAAACAGTGAAGGAGAGATGATTTGTGGCGAAAATGGGATGTATAGCATATGCTAGTTCAGCACTCATGATAGAGGCGATTGCTTTGTTAAAAAGCATGCAGTTAGCTGTGAAGATGCAATATGATTCGACTGTTTATGAATTTTATTCCGAAGACTCTTTCGATTTTATTTAAGATGATACAAGGAAAGGAAAGGAAAGGAAAGGGAGGATGGTCTTTTTATTCTTCTCCCTTTTTTAACTAAAATTACTTTTGAAAAGAATGAAAAATGCTTCTCTCTCGAATTAAATAAAAAAAATAAGAATTTATAAT